GCTCGACGCGCCTCATCCTGCCGACCCCCTTCTTCTCAACGTTGGTCAAATCGCCGGAGGTGTCGCTCTCCAGCCTCGCAGGTACTGTAGTATCCAAGAGCTCCTTCAGGTTGGCCTGAGCATCCCTAGCCTCGACCCCGACATGCACGGGCGCGTTGAACTCGTCTTCGGGCGACGAGAGCGCCAGAGCCCCCTGCGCCTTGATGAACTGCATGATCAACTCGCCAATGAGAAACAACTGCCCGCAGCTCGTAGACTTCCTTGTCACAGGGTCCTCTGCCCAATTTGAATCAGCACGTACCATGATGGTAAACTCGCCGCATCCGGGGTACATGCACGTGACCGATGACGGATGTCCCCTAAGAAACCTAACGATCCCGGAGCGCCTCTCCTGGTCCTGGACGGTAGGTCGTGACATCCCCCTTGAACGCTCCTTGGTCGCGTACTGACACCCAGGCCTCTCTAATCAACCGAGCATGCTGAGGCCGTTAGCGCTTCGGTATCTCGCAGCCGCCTTTGAATCCAACTCCTCCTCGCTATCCACCTTCTTCTCGTTCTTGATTCCTGGTCTAGGGCTCGTTTTCTTGTCGCAAGGGGTCTGGGTCGACGAGTCGCTTCAATGGCAGGCCACGCCCGTGCTTGTATACCTTCGGGGGCGCGGGGCCAGCCGCGTCCAAGATGCTCGATCTCAAGGCCTCCAACCACCAGCTCGGATATCTTCAGAATGAAATGCGCCCCGAGCTCGTCCAGTGCCTTCTTGGCGTTCCCTCTCGGCCCCGCCAGAGAATCGTCGCCCGCGTGCTTCGACATGGCCACCTGATTCCCCTTGTCGGCAAACGCGCTAGGGTCTGAAAGGAACCTGGTACACTTCATATCCGGCTGCTCGCTGCGCCATGTGGCGATGTTCCCGAAGGGGTCGTCAACATCCACCGCCGCCTCATTCAAACCGTATGCCGTCTTGTTGAGCTTGAAAACCCAATCTGGATTGTCAGGGAGATGGCCATACTCCGTCGGAACTTCTGCTGCATATATCAACTCTGATAGGGGTGCGCAGGCAAGTCCGAGATATGTCCAAGAAATAAATCCCTCGCGACAGCGTAGACCATCAGCAGCTTGAGCGAAAACGAGAGCGGTGTTGGACAGTAAAGCTCGTTCTTGCTTTTGTTGACCTGCTTGCCGAATGGCCTCGGGCAAGCCTTGCCTTGGGCTCGCCGCCCCTCATCTCCAGAACCCACGTCCGCGTCGCAGGCTTGGGCCGCCACGGGTTTCTGAGAATCAGCTCCCAGACGTCGTAAGTGTCAAGGCGATCCAGCTCGCTTTGATTCGCGTCCCACGCCGCGTCCTCGGCCCAGTCCATGACGATAATGAACTCGCCGCCGTCAGTCGTCTCCTTGTCGATCTCCGCAATCAACGTCATCACCTCGTCTGCGCTGAAACTTGCCACAAGCTTCGGCACCCCCTCGCCGCTGAGCTGCTCGATGGCCCCAACCAAGCCCCGATTTCCTGGCGTGCCCCCAGGTCCTCCTTCACCCAGATCCGCTTCATCAGCTCCACGCTTACTGGGCGATCCTGGGGTCGGCGCCTCCTGCTTGCCACGCACCCCCCCTCGATCTTCTGCGCCTGCTGTCGTACTTCACCGACGGGATCAGGGGCCTGAGAACCTGCTGGTGGGTCTTGTCGCGGTTGTCCGCGATCTGCCCCCAAGCCCGCCGCTGGCGCTGGCACCGCCGCGACTGCTCGAGGCTCGTCGCCCTTGGTGGCGATCGCTTTCTCGAACTCGGCCCGGCTCTGCTGGCGCGTCCTGGAGCGACGTGGAGGTCGTCCGCGTCCATGCTGACCTTCTGCCGCGCGCTCGCACCCAGGGCGCCGCATCCATCGGCTGCCAGTTCTCGCCCTCATAGACTTCAGCGTGCACTGATGTCCTCCAGGGCGTCCATCGCAAGGCCTTCAGGATCTCCGCGTCGTAGCTCTCCTCGTAGGTCAGCCAGCTGCTTGACAGTCCTTGCCTGCGCTGCCCCAGCGGCTGCGCCCACAAGGTGGGCGTCGCTCTTGCTGCTGCGACCGAGCCGCGCCCCTTTGGGCCAGGCCGCCCCTAGCTTGTCGGTCAGCTCGGTCTGCTCCTTGCCGATTACCGCCCCCCTTGGCCCCAGCATTGGCGAGGCGTGGGGCGCCGACCTCAAGTCTCCAAAGGGCGCGCGTCCACTGCTCCTCCTCCGCTGGCACCTGTTGCGGCAGAACGCCAGATGCCGAACTGTCCAGGGAATGACTGGAGCGCCCTCTGCGAGCTTCATTGCGCGTTTCTTCTCCGAAGTCTGCCTTCCAGTCCATGCCAAGCCAGCAACAGTTTTAACTCCACTTTCAACTCCGCCTCGCGATGCATGACTTCCTCTCTGGCGCGAACCTCAGGCGCAGTGGTGCTTCTGACGCTTCTTTCCCAAGCTTCTTCACTCGAGCAGGGAGAACTCCATTCATCGAGGATTCCGAGGTTGGCTCTCCATCAACTTGCATCTCCATACTCATGTAGCCAGATTCGTCAGAGTACTCGCTGACCGCAGGCCTGGCATAGCTCTGATCGCCCTTCGCCTCGATCACGACTCCGACGAGATGGCCTGTCCTGCGATCCTCACCAACTGCCGCGGTGAGCTCATGACCAGATCCGTCTTCACCTAGTCCCGGAAAGCCGTAGTCGAACTGGGCAACTGGCGTAACCGGCGCGCTGGGATCTCGCGCGCGGCGAGGGCCCTCCTGGCCTCAGCCCATCATGCACTCCTGGCACCAGGGCCCGAAAGGGATATGACCCCTTCCGAAGATGTGCTCGACCAGCTTCTCCTGAAACCTGCGCTGGTCGTTGCAGCCCAGGTGCGACGGGCGCCCCCGTCGAATCTCGAGCGCTCCCAGCGGCGCCGCGAAGGCCATCTCGTGAATTAGCAGCTCCTCCTTCATCTCGGCGCCCAGCGCCCCTGGGGGATCTGCGTTGCCGATGACGCACCCGTCGCCTGTCGGCTCCTTGAACTGCATGGGCTAAAGGAGGGCGTTTATCTTTCTGCGAAGCTGGATGGCAACAGCGCCCTGCCTTGCTTTGTCTATCTCGTTCTGCGCATCTGCGCTGCTTCTGAAAATCCGGGCGCCACCTGCATCGAAGTGCGCCGAATGCCCTGCATCGTTCGTCTCCGCGACCGAAAGAGCTCCTCGTCGAATTCTGGCTGGTGCGACGTCGAGCTCAGCTGGGGTGGCCGTCGAGTGGTCGAACGCCGTGCCTGCGAACGCCCGCTTGTCCCACGCGCAAATGCCCTTGCCCGTCATCGATCGCAGGAACTGCCCACTCTCGCGCATGACCCTGCACCCGTCCGTCATAGCTTTCGGTGCAACGTGTGCATGGGCGCCGCTGCCCATACACATCTCGTACTCGTCGTCGTCGTC